GGGCTTATTTTGTGTATGCCATTGGGGAAACATGCAACCGTTTTTTTTCTGGCAACCGACTATGCAATGCTTCATAATATGTCTGGCTGCATGATTCGAAGATTGGCCAAACAATGCGTTTCTCTTCCGAACACTCCTGTACTACTGCCTGGCGATGGCAGCGCATCTAAAGGCAAGTCTGCACCAAGAACAGCCTGCGAACAAGCGTGAAAGCATGGAAAGAAAATGATGTGGAAGGGCTTGCAATCACAATGTGATTGGGCCTCTTACCTTCTAAGAAACCTAAATGAACTATTGTACCAGGGCTCTCCTGTGAGGCGTGACTCTTAATTTGTTTACATCCCATAGAACCTTAGAAGGTTTTTACAAAAAGTATTGGCCTTAGATGCTATGTTGGCCTTAGGTATTGGTCGTTACTTCGCACTACAAACCGAAACAAGACTGAATGCCCTAAAGGATAAACATGGCGTTCACATTTTTTACATGCCCGCTCCCCAGGCTCCCCCCTCCCTACTTCATTAAGTAGGCGCCTACGTAAAATTAAGTAAGGAGGTAAGCTGCTAGGCTAAGTTAGCTTCTAGGTAGGATGCAGGATAGCCCTCGCACTAATGATTTGGTTCCTAGATTTTTAGGGACACTTAAGTTATAGTGAAGCAAGTGATCGTGGTAGAATGTTAAGTGTCCTCCAACCAAATGAATAGTGCGAGGGCTTCTTGAAGGCTTCCTTGAAGAAGCCTGAGCTTTCCTGCGTCCCTACTGGTAGCTTACTTAAGGCTACTAGAGTGGCTACTACTTACCCCTAACTACTAGCTACTCAAGCTTCCGCTACCCTACGTGCCCCCAAAAAAAACAGAAAAGACTCTTCCCATCCCCCCTCGTTCCTCGAAAAATTGGGTGCAAAGCGGCACGGGCACGATGAAACCATCCTCAGAATCCAAGTGAAAACACGACTGAAAACTTAGAAACATGTGATAAAGGCTTTATATCAGCATGTTCAAGTTCTCATTAAAAGGCTTTAACCATGTTCACCTGTCAATCCATTAAAATCCATTGCCGTCCATCAAAGAAACTTCCACCTGGACTGGCGGGACCAGGACTTTCAGTTCCGACTCCAAGCTCTCCCTTACGAGCAAAGGGCATCGCTACTAGTAGCGCCTGGCATCGCTTCTAGTAACAAGACTTACTTTCATATTGCTCTTCACTACTTATCTTATCCGAGTTGTCTAAGGTCTACACTCTCAAGGCCTTAGCCATAAGACGCCCTAGGAAGCGGAAGCGCTTGCATGCCACCGCGGACTTGGGGCCTGCAAACTGCACAGCTGTGTCGGAAGCCAAAAAGCATGGCTTGTTCTCATTCAACTCAGACTGGATGTTTGTTGAAATAAAGAGCACTCTGCACACCGACTATCTGCAGCTACTTCACATGCCTTGGCATTTTTTCCTCTTGGTCAAGCTAAGTCTGCGCTCACTGCGCTCTCCAAGGATGAGGCTGCCAGGGACGTGAGGCTGTGGGAAAAGGCCACGGCGAGAATGCAGAAAGGTCTTGCCCTGATGCCTCCAAGTCTAAAGCATGTCTCAAACACAACCCAGAGAAGGTCCGAATCAGATACTTTTTCCACGTGTCTACATGTGTCTATAGAATCTAGCACTCGTCTGTTTACTCTTCTCATATATTTGCATGTTTCTTCAGTTTTTTGCAGTTTCTGCTTTCCATGTGTGGAGTCTATAGGAACAAGAAGCTACTAGGTGGAGGCCATCGCTATTAGATTGGAGGCCGCTACTACTAGGAACAAGAAGCTACAGAAACCATTTTTTCTTCTAGAAGTTTTGGTTTCAAAAAATAGCCAAGGATGTGGCTGCACACGGCTGTTTGGCAAATGCTCGGCCCAAAGGTCAGCCATCCTTGGAGACTGAGCAAATGAGAGGAAACGTACGAAGCGTAGTCTTCTCTATGTGTGTTTTTTCTCCTTTTTAAGGCCAAATATCAATGATCATTGTTCTTGTCTATAAATCTTTTTTAGCCCGCTCTGAGGCTGGAGGCTATCCCTAGTAGGTTGGAGGCCATCGCTATTAGTTGCGTTTCTTTTTTAGCCCGCTGCCCTCCCTCCCTACTTAATTGAGTAGGTGCCTACTTGATTAAGTAAGGAACTGAGGTAAATAGCAGCTAGTAGCTACTAGGATGCTACTACCTAACTGGACGCCGGATAGCTCACGCTTCTTCAAGGAAGCTCCCGCCGCCCTAATTAATTTGGTTCCTGGACGTTTAGGAAAAGTGCGCAAACTGTCCGTTTCGTCCCTTAACTGCTTTGTTGAAACGGTAGGGACAAAAGGCACTCCAAACATAAACATATATCTCGTAAGAAGGAAGAAAAAAAAGGCAGGATCAAAGGTCCCAAGGAGAATGGAAAAACGCAGAAAGAACTCTGTCACTCAAGTTTCTTTCTTGCACGAAGGGTTGTTTAATATGGCATTTCGAACTGAGGTTCAACAAAGGATTCTTGTACAGTGGCAAACAGAAGTAGCCACCTAAAGATGTTTATCAGCTTCTTTCTTGAGTAACCCAAAGTCGTCCCTCTTGTATTTCTTCCCTTTCTTCCCTCATCATTCCTTTCCTACATGAACATTTTGCTGAGCAGCTCTTCAGTGTCCAAGCACATCTCCGCTGCCACATCGGTGTAAAAACTCTGCGTCACACCGTCCTGTCCCGAGAAACATGAGAAACCTGACTACAAACAAGTGAACATCTCTAGTGGCCTCCATCCTACTTGCAAAGGCCTCCATTTTACTTGCGATGGCCTCTAAGCTAT